CTGGTTCAAATCTAAGCTGGTTGGTTGACATTGCAAATCAATACCTCATTTCTCCAATGTCATATTCCAAAGTCCTTTCTGAAGAGCATTGAAAGCTCTCAAGAATAATGACAAAATTGTTATATTGCGACCTGACAAAGGCTCAGGAGTGGTTCTGATAGATGGATAAAGAGGACTACATTGCAAAGATGAAAGCTGTGTTAAATGACCCGTTGAGGTTCAAAGTTGACAATCACCAGAAAGATAAGACAGATGCAGTCGAAAAACGTATCACAAACGCACTGAGAGATCTTCTAAAGAAGAAATTGATTGAAAACAATACGTACAATGATTTGAAACCCCGAGGGTCCCGCTTGCCACACATATATGGCCTTCGAAGATACACAAAAATAAGTCCCCTGAGACCCATACTTTCGATGATCAACTCGCCCCAACATAAGGTGGCACGTTGGCTTACGGAGAAGTTGGAACCTATTCGTCAACGGCTAGGCGTGCACACTATGAAAGACTCATTTCATTTCTCTGAAAGTGTGGGCCACATTAACGTTTTAAATAAGTTCATGGTGTCATTTGATGTAACCTCATGTTCACAATGATTCCAATCAACGAAACTATTGAGATCATTTGTCAGCAGTCTGATCTTCTCCCACTCCTAGAGTCGGAATTCAAACGCCTACACATACTCGTCCAACTTCACAAAATACCCCAAAGAAGACCCCACCATCACCATGCTGGCATTGTGGCGCGTGGCACTTTGTAAAGTCTTGTCCATACAAAAATCATCGTTGCAGCAAGTGCAAAATCATCGGTCATAAAAATGGTTTTTGTCAGCCACGCAAACCCAGATATCATAATCCAGCGAAAGCTCGACAAACTGTTGGTCCTAAATCCCCAAAAATGTCATTGAGTCTACTCGCAACCTGTCAAGTCATAACTCCATGTATGCGGAAATATCTTGACCTTCAGATGAATGGTCATGATGCACGTCTGCAGCTAGATACCGCCTCTGATATTACTGTTATATCAGAGAAACTTTGGAATAATATTGGCAGACCACCAATCGCAAATACTTCTCAGACTGCTGTCAGCGCCTGTGGTGGGCGCCTCAAACTAATTGGTGAACTCGAATGTTCTGTTTCCTTCCGCGATATCAAATTCACAGGAATTTGTTACGTCACCAAGAGTGATTTAAATCTTTTGGGACTTGATTGGTTCGATCGTTTACATCTGGCTGATGTCCCACTTAGTTCTGTATGCAACGCAGTTAACAAGGATGAAAATTCAGCCAACTCCTTTTCTGATTTATGCAAACTATTCGCACCTGTTTTTCAGCCCGGATTAGGTCACTGTACCTCGCTGCAAGCTACCTTTCGAGTATTACCAGACGCAAAACCGGTTTTTCGCCCAAAGAGGCCAGTTCCATATGCATCTGTACCAAAAGTTGACGAAGAATTGGAGAGACTGCAACAACAAGGCGTATTAACACCAGTCACGTACTCGGCATGGGCAGCACCCATCGTCGTTGTCAAGAAAGCGAATGGGTCCCTACGTATTTGTGCTGATTTCTCTACTGGGTTGAATGCTGCATTAGAACAGCACCACTATCCTTTACCTACGCCGGATGATTTATTCACTGTTTTAAATGGTGGATCTTATTTTGCAAAACTGGATCTTGCTGACGCATATCTACAAGTTGAAGTAGCCCCAGAATGCCGAGAACTCCTTACCATTAATACACATCGCGGTTTGTTCCAATACAACAGATTACCTTTCGGAGTTAAAACTGCCCCAGCTATTTTCCAACAACTGATGGATACTATCTTGGCAGGTATTCCGGGTGTTGCCGTCTATCTTGATGATATCTTGGTGGTAGCGAATTCTATAAACGAACTTTACAGCAGGACAGAAGCTGTCTTGTCACGCATGCAGGACAACGGTCTACGACTACGCTCAGAGAAGTGTCAGTTCTCCTTGAGATCTGTCAAATACCTTGGATTTATATTTGATGCATCGGGTAGACGTCCAGATCCTGACAACATACGTGCTATAAAAGAGATGCCCGCACCTACTGACGTGCCTTCCTTACGCTCTTTCTTGGGATTAATTAGCTATTACTCGGCATTTCTCCCTGCGCTGCATAATGTTCGACACCCCTCAATCGACTACTCGAAAAGAATGCAACCTGGAAATGGTCCGAAGCTTGCAGATCAGCTTTTGAAAAGTTGAAGTCTATGTTAACTTCTGAATTGCTTCTGACACATTATAGTCCAACACTTCCAATTATAGTTGCAGCGGACGCTTCAGCAAGCGGAGTGGGAGCTGTCATTTTACATGTCTTCCCAGATGGTTCACAAAAAGCAATAATGCATGCATCTCGAACACTAACTGCGGCAGAAAAGAAATATGCACAAATTGAAAAAGAAGCCTTAGCTTTAGTTTTCGCCGTACGACGTTTCCATAAAATGATCTACGGCCGCCGATTTACCTTGCTGACAGATCATAAACCGTTACTTTCCATTTTCGGATCTAAATCAGGTATCCCGGTACATGCAGCTAACCGACTACAACGCTGGGCAATAATATTACTTGGATACGATTTCGATATTAAATACAACCGAACTAACGAATTTGGTCAAGCCGACGCTCTATCTCGGCTAATTAGCGACTATCCTGCATCAAGTGAAGATATGGTAATTGCATCGATCGCCACCAAAGACTATGCAGTTAACCTCATCGACAATGCTGTTCGATCTCTACCAGTAACGTTTGCAGAAATCCAGCGAACTACAAGCACCGATGCCACCTTACGACGTGCTACACAGTATGTATCCAGTAATTGGCCAAAGATTAAATATAGTGGAGACCTAAAACACCTGTTTGCCCGTCGTGATTCCTTATGTGTTGTAAAAGATTGCTTGATGTTTGGAGAACGCGTAGTGATACCTGAAGCATTACGAAATAAACTCCTGAAACAGTTTCACATGGGACATCCTGGTATTCAGCGGATGAAGAGTATTGCTCGCAGCTACGCATACTGGCCTAATATGGATAAGCATATTATCGACTTTGTTCAACGATGTTTAAAATGCCAACAATCAGCAAAGAAGACCCCACCATCACCATGCTGGCGTTGTGGCGCGTGGCACTTTGTAAAGTCTTGTCCATACAAAAATCATCGTTGCAGCAAGTGCAAAATCATCGGTCATAAAGATGGTTTTTGTCAGCCACGCAAAACCAGATATCAAAATCCAGCGAAAGCTCGACAAACTGTTGGTCCTAAATCTCCAAGGAGATCATTGAATCTACTCGCAAACCTAGTGGTCTTCTGATTCCCGTCTTCCTTGCGTCAGGACTATTAAATTCTCGACCAGTACAAAATAATAATTTGGCGACGAGCACATAACATTTTGGCGACGGGGAAAACTATGGATCCTTCTAAATTGGAATTACTATTTGAGCGACAAATGAAATTGATGGAAATGCTCATCAACCAACAGACTGGTCCAGCTTCACCTCCAAGCAATCCGAATCATACCATGCTACCATCTGTCGACGGCATTGTGAATATTATTTCACAGTTCAATTATGATCCAGATGCTAATGTCACTTTTGACACATGGTATCAACGATATGAGGATTTATTCACAGTTGATCTCGCCTCTCAAGACGATGCTTGGAAGGTGCGAGTGTTATTACGTAAACTGGGTCCCGCAGAATATGAAAAGTACTGCAACCTAATTTTACCCCAAAAACCACGTGACAAGTGTTCCGATGATACAATAAAGCTGCTGCGTGAACATTTCGGAGACCTCTCCTCATTATTCAGTATACGTTATCGTTGCCTCAACCTGACAATGAATGAAAATCATGACTTTCTTACTCATGTTGGCACAGTCAACCGAGAATGTGAGAGATTTCGACTCAGGTCCTTAACAGATGATCAATTCAAAGCCTTGATTCTCATATGCAGTCTTCAATCTCCTCGTTTCACAAATATCCGAACTCGACTGCTCAATCAGCTAGAACAAAATCCTAAGTTAACATTACATGACATAGCTGATGAATATCAACGGCTGATTAATTTGCAGAAAGACACACACCTGGTCGAATCAACACCTTCGAGAAGCTCTGATATTTATGCATTACGAAAGAGCAAAAATCTCTCATCATCCAGTCCTGACCCACCTTCTCCTAATGTTCCGCAGAAATCTACACATACTCGTCCAACTTCACAAAATACTGCAAAGAGAGACCACCATATATATACATATCAGAAAGTAAATGGGAAGAAATGGAGCCAGGTGAAGAAGTTGTCAGATAACTGAACGCAATGGAGACGTGCAGCTGAGGCTCTATGTTCCTCTAGGAACTAAAGGAAACAATAATAACAATAATTTGCAAGGGCTGGGATACTGTTCAGATGCCCAGACCAAAGCAGGTGATTGTCTCAAAGGGCCAGCCAGCCAACCCACCCGCCCCCCACGAGCCTTCGACTTGAAGTTTGATCTGTAAGACAATGGAGCAGCTTTTTCACTGGTTGAGACAGTGTCCAAAACACATTCATCATATGTTATTCGATGCTTTCGTATTCTTGAGCTAATGTAACCATATGTTTGGTATCAGGGTTTTCCTATCCGAACTCTGTCCCCACCATAAGCAAACTTGAATGTCCACCAGTCCGGTCCCGTGGTCAGTATCAAACGTTCGGATTCGCCGTTTTACTTTTATGCGAAAGCCCCTCCCCCCGACCCAACCACGAAAGCATGGCCACATGAGAGCATTTCGTGAGGAACACCAAAGTCGCTTACACACAGGACACTGGTCAGCCAGCAAGACGGACATCTATTATTAAATGTGTTTGTCTTGCCTGCGTATATATATACATCCAAAATTCAGAATAGATCGTTAAGATAGATGATGGTAACAAAATAAAATAAACAAAATAAAGAGGATATCATATACGAAAAAACAACAATTTCTCCTCACACACACATACCGACCTGTTTTTCTTCCATCACTTGTTTTACAAGATCCACATGTTCATTATTAGCCCAACTGTAAAAACTAGCTGCTAGACTGAAAGTAATAATAATCATAATAATATATGTGAGTTTATAAACATCAACATACGCTAATTCTGAGTCACTTTTAAACTCATCCGCCCATCGTTTAAATATTTCAATCAATTTCAGACTTGGAATACGTTGTAAAGTCTGTGAACAGTAAGTGAGTGAGTGAGTTAGTTAGCTGAAGTTACCGAAAAATTCTTCTTTATCGTTTGACAGAAATCTTTTGAAGCAAGTTCACGATTAAATGTTTTACCACAGTTTTGACTGCATGCGTCTAACAACTATAGATATATAACTACTAGTAAGAGCAACACACTATGACTTACTGTTATTGCACGAAGAGATACATTTGGATTTTTATGAAATATACGTTTACAGATAGTTTTTACACAAGTTTTCGGACTGTAGTGAATTAAAAAGCTTGTCAAAACAACACAACCTACTCTTTACTGGCGTAATTTTCACATACTTCTAAGATTAGATCCCAATTATCTTGTGTATTTTTCTCTGAAGTACATTTTTCTGTGAAAGCAGCAACAGCAGCAGCAGGAGTAGCAAGAGGAGGAGGAGAAGAAGAAGAAGGAGGAAAGACGATTATTTAGATTTGATAAAAATGAATTGACATGTTATTCCTATCAAAAAACATCTGTTTATATGGGGTACCTAACCTGTCATATGCTCTGATGGTGTTCTCGTGACTTTTGTTGCCAGATCTCCCAAGGGCGATGGGATAGTACGCCAGCTAATGGTTGTGTGCAAGGTTTGAAGAAGGCTGTGTGCTATATGCATGCGCCTCGCCCTGGTAATGTTTGGGCGTCGGTGGCATAGCGGTTAGGACGCTCGCCAACCATGCATATAGTCCGGGATTCGATCCCCGGCCGACGCACTCCTTTACCTCGATAAGCCAGAAATAATGCTGGCGAAGAGGAAAGGTTAGGCATGGGGCTAGCAACCCCATCCTGTAAAAGTAAACACCTACAAAAACTTCAAGCCACTAGCTTGAAGCCCTATGTTCCACTGGGGAACGTGAAGGAAAATATATATATATATATATATATATATAAGAATAGAATTTGCGCATTGTGGAGGTATAGAGTAGCATAATTCGATTGTAGGTAAAAATTTATTCTAATGAAGTCACACACACATACACACAGTGGTGTTATACAGAAAGTAATATTTACTGATGATAACCACGTTTCGAGCACAATTTATTACTGCAGCTAATAATTATTATCAAGGCACTCTCACACTATTTTGTAGTGGTGTCCATCAAGGATGCCCATTATCCCCATTTTTATTCAACTTCATCATAGATGTACTAATGGAATTAACCCTAACTCACTCCAGCGACTCAAGGATTGACTTGCTACCAGGGAATAATCTCGTTGACTTAGAATATGCATACGATATAGTCCTCCCTTCTAGGCTAGGACGCTAACAGAATGCAGAGTCTCCTAAACAAATTGAGCTGCAATCTACAAATGTTTGGCATGCCATTCGCTCCCACCAAATGCAAGATGATGTTACAGGACTGGACTACACTGACTCCTAGATTAGAAATAGGAAGTGAAGTGGTAGAGCACGTTGACCGCTTCACTTATTTGGAAAGTACCATCAGCCAACGCCAACGGGTTCATCTCTGACGAAATCTCAGCTGAGTACGGATACAGAGGGCTAGTTTCGCATATGCCAGCTTACGCCGTCTCTGGCTTAGACGAGATATCCGGCTATCGACGAAAGGGCAGGTGCACTGCTCATCAGTCTGCTCCGTCCTCCTTTATGGCTGTGAGCGAGAGCCGGCCATTGAGAGTGGGAGACATGAAAAGATTAGCTGTCTTTGATCATAGGTGCCTGCGCTTTATCTCCTGTGTGAAGTGGTATAATAAGGTGACCAATATTGAGGTTGGGCGTCGAGTTCTAGGTAAGCAGTGAAAATCAATCGACGAGGTTGTGAGGTTACATCGACTGAGATGGTTAGGATATGTGTTACGTATGCCTAGTCATCGCCTTCCTCGACGGGCGGACAATGTTAGCTGACATAGGGTCAGGCAGGAAGAGAGCTAGCGGAGGTCAAACCAAAACATGTCACCAGTCAATGACATGGCTCAAAATCGTTCTCAGTGGCGCAGATGCATCCACTCCTGTGACTTATGATCTTCAATGAAATTGTTTTGTATTTTTTATTACTCCTTTGTCTCACCTGCTCACTGTTCTATTATGCTTTTCTTGTACTTTTTCTCTTGCTTCGCGTGCTACACGGAATGTGGCGACTTGAACTTCCGCACATTTGTGCAAAGTTCTATGTCGAAAACAGACAGACAGAAATCTACAACACTTAGTTTAAGCCAGACAGCCACGTAGGAAGGTGTAGACTTCCTGACTAATTGGGGTCCTCTGGACGGTAAAAACCAATGGTTGGAAACAATTGCTGACATGTTCAAACTCATCGTTCTCAATGGCCAGTGCAGATGCATCCACTTCTGTGACTTAAGATTTTGAATGAAACTGTTTTGTTCTTTGTTATTATTTTCCCTTTGTCTCACACCTCTGTTTACTGTCTCTATTATGCATTTCTTCTACTTTCTCCTCTTGCTTTGCGTGCTATATAGATTGTGGCTACTTGAACTGCTGCACATATGTGCAAAGTTCTGTGTCGAAAACAAACAGAGACAGACTCACACAACCTTTTAACCTTGTTTATATAGTTCCGTTATTCTTTTATCGCTTGATTTGATGATTGGTAGCAATATTTTCCATATTTCTGGTATGAGTGATGAATCATTCCTATTGCAAGTGTTGGGTGTAGACGCGATGAACCAGGGCTCGGCTCAGTAATTAATCTCTCACCTACATAGATTACTTCTTAGAATCTTAACCCTTTCCCACCCTATTGTGTGGTTTTGTGTTAATGCATGTAGTACAATTGCTAAGTTTTTTTCCAAATTACTTACCTTCGCAGGGTGAATCATTCTAACCCTAGCTAAATTCGTATGTTCTGTCTACTCCCGACCTACTAGTTTGACCTATATAGTTGACCTCACTCACAGTCATTGAAAGGTATTTAGTAAATTATATTTTGTCTAATTGGGTCAACGTCCAGGGTCTTTTAACCTAGAGCTTGTCCTAGCTGAGTGAGTTTGTAGGAAGGTTTGAATGCCACTCTAAATCCTGCTTTATTGAGAATCCCATGTGGGGTCTCAGATGTCCCCTCCTTATATGGTAACACTACTGTAGATGCTTTATTTTATTTATGTTACTATTATTTAGTCTTCTCATTATTTTTGGTTTGCTTTTGACCTTTTTTAATATCTCTAAAGAATTTTATAGGATAGTTAGTTATTTAACACCAACCAGGTATTTTTCTGTTTCATTTCATCATCTAGGTTTTTTGATGTACTACTTAATGTTTTTATGGCTGGGTTTGTTAGACACTTAACATACAAGCCTTCCTTCACAGACAGATAACGGATGAGGTAATGAATTAAAGTCTAAATATCTATTAGCAGAATCCGTTGGCTTTTCATAAACGCTAGTGTGTAGTTTGCCTTCTTTCTATTCCTTTTATTTTACAGTCTAACATCATAGCTAATTCTAACTCATTTTATGATTCAAATGTGAATTTTTTTCCCTTTACTATTGAGTTTGTGTGTATGTATGTATGTATGTATGTCTGTTTTCGACATGTATGGGTGTGTGTGAGAGGAAACTAGAGATATTTTCTGGAAAATATTACCACCAATCAAATTAAGACATGAGAAATAGTGGAACCACATAAACAAAATTGGAAAGTTGTGTGAGTAAATTGATATGATTGTGAGCAATAAATTGAGCTCGAGAAGTCGTCAGTAAATATTACTGTAAAAAACCTTGAGTCTTGATCAAAATAAATTTTACCCACAATGGAACATCCATCTACAAACAGTTGACAACCAACCACATCTGCATTTGTAAGACAATGATAACAGCTGGTTGCTGCGGCCTAAGTAGGCGGAGTGCAGATCGAGACTGTAAGCAGTCACAATTTCGCATCTGAAAGCTACACACAATGTCCTTTATCCTTCAGTACTGACTGAAGTTACAATTCATGGACTATTGGGTTCCGTCCAAGTAACTCAATGGTTTAGTAGAACTGCCTTGTAACCTGCAAGTTCTAATTTTGACCCCTGGTGGAGTCATAGATGTGTACTGCTGAAGAGTCCCAAACTAGGACGAGACCATTGTCCAGTACTCCCTGATCCTCTGATTACAGTTAGGTTATAACCGAACTTCTTCAAAACCTTAACTCATATTTTGAGGTCATAATCTGATCAACTGACTACGTTTCAAAGTAGAGATTTTCTCAGAAATGCAGCAGTTCAAATTGCCTCACTCCACATAGCACACAAAAGTTAAGAAAGATTTTTTCAAAAATATATGATCAGCGGAAATGTACAAAAGAAAGAATAGTAACATTGGAAGACATGAATACTGAGTATCTTTGAGAGATTACAGAGAGTGAATGTACATAAAAGTAAAAAGTAGCTAACCAGGTGTCTTGAGAATGGAAACTGCTCCCATTTATCTACAGAACATGCTTTAATAGTTACTTATTAGTCCATTGAGTTATTTATTTATACTTCCAGATGAAGGCAATCGGAAAAATGCACAACACAGCTAGATGAACAAGAGAGAGTGCATGCCTTTGCTAAGAAAACATGCTGTCATACCACTACGACACGATCCGCATAATTAAACCCAACAATTTAAAACTACCTAAATGGCTGTGTAATATTCAGAGGTTTACATAGTAAACTGTGTTAAAATCTATTCTAGTTGACTTTTAAATAGGGCAAATCTATTACATATGAAGTTCTTTTTTTTGTTATGTGTGACTGTCAAGGAAGAAAAATACATTGGAATGGTGAAACAAGTTACAGTGAACTACACAAAATTTGGCAGTTACATAGTTCGCAATGAAAACTCACTAATGTTTCTCTTGAAAACCGATACAATTCAGATCACAATATGCAACCTGCTTGATAGCATAAGTGATAATCAAGAAAGCAAACATAGCTGCATGATGCAATATACTGCTGATTGATATGGTAAATTGGATACTACTCACGTGAACAAGTAGTGAATAGTAGTCAGATTGAACCCCTGTTCGGCTATTTTGCTTGATCTTAGCAGAGGTCATTAAAGGTAACACGGTTCCACTTAGCCCAGAGACCCAAATTACTTAGAAATACTCGAAATCTGACTAGCTGCTGGGGTGAACCAGTTTGTAGTTTGTAGAATCAAATTTTCAATTTACACGGTGACAGTGAAAGTTCCAATATACCCTTTGGACAGCAGGTGCAAAACTAACAGGTATCCTACTCCACAAACTAAGACAGTGAATGCAAACTACAACCAATCAAGAACACCTGAGATCGAAAATGTATAAATTTTTCATATCTTCAAACTTGGTTACGTATTCGGTTGTAAAGTGGAACAGAACGAAAGCCTGCAGTGTACGATGTCCTTCAGTGAGCAGCTGTGGATATCTAGCTGGAGACGAAAATGGCGCAACTAGGCGAATAAAACGTGTACCTTTGGCATATGTTCAAAGATCACGTTAGTAGTCAATTCATTGGAATTAATGAAGTTAATGAAGTTAAGTTTCTTAGAACAGATTTTCCATGTGACAAATTGCAAGCTATACTTCCGGTGTGCAGGTTGATGGCACTACTCCATCATGCAGACCGAAGAAGGTGGGGCATAATTCGATACCGTGACTTCTCGATTGGGACTTCAGTCGATAAGCTAAACAAGTGAGGTGGTCAACACACACACGACTATTTAACCCCCTCTACTTGAACTATAAAACAATAAATCATGAATGGAATACACTGCTAAGTTTAACACACTTTCTTGGTACGTCTTTTGCAGTCAAATTTGCTGCAACGCTTTACAATTGATACTTTGTCATCTCTAGGTCAAAAATATGGTAAGCATAGGGCGTGCATATGACTATATCCCAGGACCCATAGAGAAATGAAAATATGATCGAAGTACTATCACCTAGCGTAGAAAATTGCCCTCACTTAATGTTTGATGCTAGATCGGTCAGGCTAATTTTCTGTATTTATAACAGGAATGGCTATCTTATCTCGGTAGCGAGAAATTACTGTCAGTTGCCGCCATAACAAAATTCCTTACAAACTACTACCTTCAGTTAACCAGTAATTTTCCACCACCACCACCTGCAAATAGGACCCATTAGATTCTTCTGCTTCATTCTGTTTCAGATTAGATTACCTTTGGAGCCTCAGGTTAGCATTTTCCATTTAATTACTGATTTGATATTAGTCAATTCACAACTACGCACTTGTCAAGTTTCAGCAATTAGTCGTTATGGAGTCATTAACCAGTCTCTGAAGGACATCTGCAAAAAAGCCCAAAAATCTGATTGGTAGTAATTGGTGTATATTCGTCCTGAATTATTTTGGTAAAGACATAAGTGTATGGTTTCGCCATGATCATATACGTCTCTAGAGAATTTGTGCACTTGCTAGGGCAACCAAAATTTTATCTATCCTAACAGGAAATCTTTAAGTGTCGCTTAGTGCATGTACATCGCCAAGCTACATGAGAGTTCTTGTTCCTCGAAAAAAATTGAAGTGAACACAATAAGAACGCAACAGCAAAAGAAGAGGAAGTATGCAATTTAAAAAATAAGACAGAGTAATACAAGTTTACGCATAAGATAAAGAAGGAGAGGAGTATGTGAAAGATAACAAAAAAAACGGAAAGTGATATGAGCAGATGTCAAGGATATGATAGTTGCACTACTATTACAGCCCCTCAGAATTACATATTCAAGCACATCACCACATACTTTCCGAACCGAATCAGACCATAATAACCAAGAAACCAAGGCCAAAGATTTTATGGCTGGTATTTTAGATCGATGATGACTTTTTCGCATTTCTTTCAATATTATCTGAAACGTTCATAACAAAGCTTCTTGTATATCCTATACCTACACCGTTGAGGTAGTACGTCTTTTTTTATGACTTGGAATGCTCTGTATCTTATGGGCTGTTTTACAGTAACAAAGAATTAGAAGGACGCTGGCGATACACAATCCTAATAATCAAAGCCGGTTAATGAGAACTTTGACGTCTTTTTTAAGGTCTTCGTTTGGATACTCATGTCCTGAAAAGATGGGCCAAGATATTGTGAACTTTGAGGGAATACCTTACAAAAGTTTTGTAAATGTGATTACAATCCGAATTTCCACCTGCAAGTGATAATGATCAAGTGAAAATGAGCAAGACAATGGCCGGTGGCAGCTATAGCAGCGGCCACTGCGAAGTTTAATAATACACTTGAATTTGGAAGACACGGTGCTGTACCGTTGCATAGTTTAGATCTATTCCAAGCGGGAATAAGAAATACTATCATGTATGATGGACATTCAACTCACTATTTTAAGGTGATCCTACTTAAAATACTGACTAATTTTTGAAGTATATTAAACTTAATGCAACCAGAGTTTAATGAACGTCTTTAAAATTATGTAAAATACTTCATAGAATACAAATAATTGCAAAGCATAACCAACCTATCAGCGCCTCCATTGCCAGTAATTAAATGTTCCGGCTTACCACTTCCTCAAAGCTTAGGTTGTTCAACATCCAATTCTGTGTCTGACATTACTGTTTAAGGAGTGGGATGTAAGACACCTTGTATCTTTTGAAATAGGTGGAGATATTGAAGTTTAAGACTTCGTTAGACATTCCAGGCTAGTGTTAGCGTAATTCGGTAAAAACACTATATAAACACAATTTTTCGGATTTTTGTTTTGGGAAAGAAGGACTGAATTCTGCGCTAATTCTATTCTAAAAGGTGTCGGTGCTTGTCTAGTTTGTTCTTGAACTAATTCAATGAGAGCATAGACACTTCTTATGGGGTCATTTCTAAGATTTTTTTGACACGGTTGGAGAATGACTACCATATACTACCATTATAAAGTCCCTCCTTCTTATTTGACCCTCACGGCAAGCTCTACGAGATGATGCGAACTGAAGGAAGGGAAAAGAGAGGATAGTCCAGCTCGAAAGTCTTATCCAAGTGTTCTGGAGTTTGTGATTAGATCTCTCTGCCTACTCTATGCTAAGGAGAAAAGCTTTACACTGTCAAGTCTTTCCTCTCGTTATAGACTGACCAGATTCAGATTCGCATGATAAGGATAGTAGGTCCTTGTGGCCTGTGTGTTAATTCTTGCGAAGTATGTCCGTGCAGAGATCTAACTTCTCTTTGAAAGCAATCACCGATGGAGATAATACCACTGAATCAAGTAAGGAGTTCCAGTCGTTGATCACTCTGTGAGAGAATCTAAATTTCGCACGTATTTTAATCGTTCTCGGTTTGAGCACCTTTTTGCGGTGACCCCGTAAATGTATCCTAGAAGGGGAGAAAAGGTTAGAAAGGTCAGTTCCTAGATTACCTTATGTATGCGGTATGCTAAAATTAAGTCGCCCCTCTTCCTTCCGTAAGATAAGGGTAGGTAATTTAAATGCTCCATTTTTTCGCCACGAGGAGGGTGTGAGATACCACTAACTTATTTGGTTCCTAATCTATGTACTCTTTCTAAGATATGTGCCTCCTGCTTGAAACATGGACTAGTCGCTTATATACAGCGTCCTAGATGAGCCCAGCAAGCCATGCTTTTCCACATGATCTAATAATCGATCCCTTGTGACTGTTCCGGATACTTTTGCTGTAGTGCATGTCAGAATTACCAGCCGGTAGACAGATACGAATTGCCTGTTCCTCTCTTTGAAGATAGGGCTTACAATGGCATCCTTTAGTCCCTGAGTAGCTAAGCCTTGGTTAGAGACATTCGAAAATCTCCGTAAGTGGTATCTATGTTATATCTACCAAGGAAATTCTTAGTTTAGGATGCAGTCCATCGGGCCCAGGCGATTTATCTGGCTTCAGTTAAGACAGTATTTTGAGGACCTCTGTGTGCTCCACCACAATTGAGGGCATCTGAGTGGCAGTGCTAGTGACCTATGAGTCGTGCGTATTATCCTCCTTTGAACTCTTTAATGAATATGAGTCCCGCTTGGGACCACACCTCACTGTCTGTATGTGGTTTCACAGATTTACTTCACATGGTTGTGCAAAAAGTGGGGAATATTCCGCTAGTGATTCAAACAAAAGTTCTGTATATCGCCCACATGAAAGTGAAACTGAGAGTTTCTGCAGCACAGCAGTGTGCCATGACACTTAGAACCATGAGGGTATGACCTGATAGGAGTTGTATTCCATGTGTCGGTGGCACTGTGATTAGGACTCTCGCCGACCATGCACATGGTCCGGGGTTCGAGCCCACGCCGACGCACACCTTGATATCTATCGTCGGCCTGCGAAATTTGGGCTACCGATATCCATGCTGAAAATTCCATACTTGTACCAAAAATACGATGTGGAATCAAGCTGTAATCAAAAATAAAAGAAAGTAACAGTTGACTCCGAAACGCACTTAGTTGTGAACTTAGCTATTTTGAAATGCAGGGGCTGAGTACATTACCTTGCGGACTCAACATCACGTTCCATTGTTTGAGAAGACAGCTTTAGGTTGATTTGGACCCCATGACTCGAGATCCAGTCTAACGGGCCGCCTCTGATTCCAAACTCGAATTTCCCGAGCAGATTTCATTAGGTACTATATCGAAAGCTTTGCTGAAACCTGTAAACACTATCCTGGTTCCTTTTTGTCCCTGAAAACCTCGTTTAGATTACTAGCTCTCTAGTTTTCTAGCCGGTCCCAAGCCCAGATAAAGAAAGAGAATCGGAGCGTCGTGCTAGCAACTCCACCCCAAAAATTAGCCAAATTGCTACAAAAACTTCAACGCACCAAAATATTAAAAATGCTAAAAATATACACAATAACCTTATTTTTTTCTGGAATTGGCGAAGTGAAATGACGCAGGCCGGTGAATGCCCCCAGGAGCCAGTCAGTCAGCCAATGTGCCTCCTTTCAATGAAAGCCAAAATAACGATGGGAGCGTGGAATGTTCGTACAATGTACGAAGCTGGAAAGGCTGCCTAGGTAGCTGCAGAAATGTGGATATATGGAATAGAAGTGTTGTGAATCTATGAGAGCAGGTGGAACGGATGTGGAAAGGTGCCAGCTACCAACTGGAGAGACAATAATCTATTCCGGTCACCCAGAGGACAACCACGAGCACACTGAAGGAGTGGCAATCATGGTGTCACCAACAGCAACCAAAGCTCTGATGCAGTGGGAACCAATCTCCTCCAGGGCAGTGACAGCCAGGTTCAACTCAAAAGGAAGGAAGGTTACAATCATCCAATGCTATGAGCCTACAGACGTCTCAGAACAAGAGAAGAAGGAGGCGTTCTACAGACAATTACAACAGTAATGGATAACGTCCCAAATGGCGATATCAAAATCCTGATGGGTGATATGAATGCGAAACTGGGAGGAGACAATACAGGAAGAGAACACACCATGGGTCGTGAGGCCCTCGGTGAAATGAACGACAATGGTGAACTCTTCTCAGACTTCTGCGCCTTCAATGATTTGGTGATTGGTGGTGGTATGTTCAAACACAGGGAAATACACATGACGACAGAGATTTCACTAGATGGAAACACCAAAAACCAAATAGACTTCATCTCAATTTCAAGAAAGTGGAGACGGAGCCTACTGGACACAAGGTCAAGGAGAGGAGCAGATGTGAGTTCAGACCACTATCTAGTAGAAGGGACTTTCGACGTGAAACTAAAAGCCTCGAGGATAGCTGGGGATAGGCCACAATGCAAGTTCAACACTCACAAACTGAAGGACACAACCACAAAAGACACTTTCACTGCAGCTGTCAGAGCAAAGCAGGAAACACTACGCGACATCATTGAAGAATCATGCGTGGAAGAACATTGGAAGCCTCTGAAGGCGATTCTCAACGAAACGTGTTCAATGGTTTTAGGAAGAAAGAAGAGACAAGACAAGGAATGGTTCTCAATGGACACTTGGAAGCTAATAGAAGAGAGGAGAATGGTGGAAGAGAAAATGATTCAATGCAAGGACGGACAAGAGAAGAAGACGCTGAGGGCAACTTACACAGCACTACTGGACGAAGAAGTGAAGAAGAGTGCTAGGAAGGACAAAAGACAATTCTACGACAATCTGGCCATTGAAGCTGTAAAGGCAGGAGGCAAAACGGACCTGAGGACATTATATCACATAACCAAATCTCTATCCGTGAAGAGATCAACACAAGCGAAACCTATAAAAGACAGCCAAGGGAACCTAATCACCAAGGAAGAAAAACAGATTGAACAATGGGCGGATCACTTCAAAGTACTTTTGAATCGACCACCACCGTCCAGAAATACCAACAACAACACGTACACAACTGTCAGTTGACACCAATCCTACAACGAGGGCTGAAGTCCTAAATGCAATCGAGCTTCCGAAAGCTGGAAAAGCAGCTGAACCAGATGGAATACCCCCTGAAGCACTGTTAGCGGACCTGGAGACGACAGCAGATATGCTGACTCCATTATTGCAAAAGGTCTGGAAGGAGGGAAAGTGCCTACTGACTGGAGGAAAGGTTACCTTGTGAAACTATCAAAGAAGGGCGACTTAGGACCCTGCAAAAACTGGCGAGGAATCGTGCTCCTGTCAACGCCCAGTAAAATTCTGAGTCGCACCATTCTGGAGAAAATGAAGGACTCACTGGATACAGAATTCCGACCAGAACAAGCTGGATTCAGGAAAGGCAAATCATCTACTGACCAAATTGCAACACTACGTTTCATCATCACAGAACAAAGCGTGGAATCTCAATCAAATCTCTACCTCAACTTTTTAGACTTTGAGAATGCCTTCAACTGCGCTGATCGCCAAGTTATTTGGAAACTACTCGAGTACTATGGCGTACCCCAAATATTCATCAACCTTATTCAACAGCTGTACGACAACGGCGCATGTCAAGTGATCCACAACGGAAAACTCAGTGAGGCGCTTGGAGTAAACACAGGAGTCAGACAAGGGCGCTTATTATCACCCACAATGATATTCCGAATTGTGGTGGACTGGATTATGCGTCAGACAGTGGGAAACGAGAAGACAGGGATATCCTGGACAGACAGACGTGAAGAACCTAGAAGACCTGGATTTCGCGCGTGGATGATTTATGTTTGATGTCACACGAAATCAAGGACTTACAAGCGAAAACCGACAAACTGGTCGAAGATGCAGCAGAGACTGAAATCCAGGTGAACATAGACAAGACGAAGGTTATGAAAATAACCAACCAACAACAACAGTAGCAGCGACATCCAGCACCAATCACCATCAACGGGAGGGATTTGAAAGAGGTTACTTCATCCACTTATCTAGGGAGCATTGTCTCAACTACACGAGGAACGGATGAGGATGTTGTCAATTTGAAGATTGAACGATCAATTCTTGGTTGTTTGCTCAAAATCAACTTCCCCAATTTTCGCGGAGGCATCAATACGACAGTCATCGTCTCATCGGTCGCTGTTCAGAAAGAAGAGTGAAACATCGTCAGAAAATATAATGATTTATTATTGTAATATTTGTTTTCAGACCTTAGTTCGCTTATTCCTTTTATATGTTGGTGTAACAATAAACAAATATCAAGCGGCAGATCGGTGTTTTGGTTTTTGCGTCCGTTATAACTAAGCGTTTCTGAAAACTTCTAGGAACAGCGTGGGCCCGAGCGTAGCGAGAGCTGGGCATTAACG